ATACAATACTAATCGTTATCTTCTGTCTTCATAATTCATGTTCTTTTATTGTTCTCTCTACTTAATAGTGTTTTGTTCTCTCTTTAATGTTTTCTATCTCTCATATTCTCACATACTCAGTAACCACTAACCACACTTAGTTTTAGTGGCTTTATTGCCTTGTTTGGGGTGAAATGATTTTAAAAATTAAAACCTTCAATCTATATTTAATGTCTTGTCAACAGATGCCACAATTTGATCCACCGCAAAGAAACACCAGCTATATTGATAACATTAGAGATTTATATTTCTGTGTGTTTTTTCTTAATTTATAAAATTCATATTTACTGGAAACAAACAGTCTGTATGCAGATAGGAAAACGAGTTAAGCAAATACACAAAAACAGAAAGGGAAATAAAACAAGTTTTCATTTGTTCATTGGATTTATTCAACCTATACATTGGGACAATCCTAAGAGAACAAGACAACCTACTAGGATTTATTATTTGCAGCCTTAATCTGAACAACACAAGACACGCGGATGACACTTTTCTGATGGCCGACTCGAAATGAAAACCTAGATTCCTAGACAAACTTTTTGTACGTTTGCTTGTTTTCTTTTGTTTTTGTTTTTTGGGGTTTTGTTTTTTGTTGTATTTTTTCAGTCATCTCACCTCAAGCAAGACAATAAAGCAACTAAGACGGAGGGGGTTACTGAGTGTGAAAGAGTATGGGATAAAGAAAACACTATTAAGAGAACAAAAAACGAACAAGAATTAAGAAGACAACAGACAACGACTGATTTAAATTTTGGAAGATCAAAGTTAACTGGGAAGCAACAAGCCGGAGCTAACAGTTTCTTCTATCCCACTTCTCGTTTGTGGAACTAGATAGGTCCACAAACAAGAAGTGCGATAAAAAAGAAACTGTTAGCATAGAACTTACGGTTAAATCTAGTCATTTCAGTTGCAAACTGAGACCTTGCGGACAGTCTAGTACTGCGCGTAAATTCATAAAGTTTAAGAACCATAGAGGAAAGTAATATTTATTTTGAATAATACAAAAATGTGGCATAAGGCCAAAAGTAAGGATGGGGGGATGGCTGGTTTTATCTTAAAACTTAGCTCTCCACTATTACTGACCCAAACATACCAAGTATTCCTTAACCAAAACAACACATTCATACTAACCATTCTTACTACAGCCACCATAATACCTCAAAGTCTCTATGTAGTCCTAACTAGTTCCTATATGCACAATTTGTCGGCGGGGGGGGGGGAAATTAACGACATTTAAAAATGAAACCATAATGAATATTTACATAACGGAAAGTTCATCTGAACAATTACCATGAAAGTATTTATAGAGAATGCATAAACGGCGGTGGGAATCTAACTGAAGCCTAGATGCCAGGTCAGGACCAATAATATCGCAGATTCTTCCTTGGATTTTATCAAGAATCTCTAAATATATCGTAGGAGCACTAAGCCAGATGTGGCAGCGATATTCAAAGCAAGGAGGAATGGCAGGCTTATATGTAAGCTAGATTCAAAAAAATGCTTAGTGGACCAATTTTCCTAGCAGCAGACGTAGCAATTGATTGAATATAACCTTTCCACTTCAGGTCAAATTAATATATTTTAGTCTCGTCTTGGTTTACAACCAACGTCAGAGAATGATAACACCGAATTCAAAACCAGAAAAAAAAAGCAACAAAAATTCACACCAGGGAGTCATGGCACAGATACTACAGAAAAAAAGAAGTTGTGAAGAGCCATAACTGGCTGCATTCCGAAGGTGAAATGGAATTTAAGAAGATGGCAGGTGTGTGTATGTGTGTGGCAACAAAAATCTGTGTGTTATCTGTACTTTTAGAGCTGGAGATGGTTCTGAGTGCACGCATGCGCTTAAAGTAATAAACGTTGTTTATTTTTTATTTTATCTGCAGTGGGCACTTCGATGTAGTGTAATGGCTAACAAGCTTGTCTTGCTAGATCAATCGTGACTGACAAGTTAATTCAGTCCTCATAGGGTGCTCCATACTTTCGGCCTTGTGCCACATCTGAGCTACGCTTAGGAAATCGTTACATTATCTGCAGTTTTGTCATACGTCGGCACGCCTCTAACACAGGAATTCCTTCCTTGTGAATTTTCTACGGACACTGTTTTAATGAAGATGACGTTAAGTGGAAGATGAGGAGAAAAGAAAAAAATATGACAATGTGGTTGGTAACAAGCGATAAAAAAGTAAACAACTCTTGCAAAGCTAATTAAAAGGAAAAGCACTTAAGAAAAACTCCCACCTATCTTTGTATTACGGAAAAACCATTCATTCATTACGCGTGTATTTTCAAGCAGAGCCAAATCTATGATACGAGGGCCACCCACTCAACGACATTTCAATTTTCATAACGTAGTATTCGGATAAAATACAAATTTTATTGTAACCTAATTATGTACAATAATGGATTATATGCAATATAGGGGAATAATTCAACTAGAAAAATTGGAAATAAATAAAATCTAAATAGAAATTAAAGACGAAGAGATCATACCATTTAAAATAAATCAACAATGTTTTGCGGCAATTTCTAACATCAACTTGAGATTTTTCTAAATTTTAACACATTTAACCTTATGGATAAAACATATAGAAAATGTTATAATCTTTTTTGAAGACTTAACATGAGCAAAACAAATTCACGGATTTGGACGAGAAAAAATCTAAAAAATGTTTTTTCGTGACTTTTGTATGAGTAAAACGAAAAAATACCTCGGAATGAGTCAGAATTTTTTTCATCATTATGTTTAGTTTAATTTGTAACGTCTAAAAATGTACGTAGAAAAAAGCAAATATTGATAAGATAGCGAAGCAGTGCTCGTGGACACCAATCAGGCTTGTCTCTCTCCTGGTTAGTGATACACACTGGCCCTGTACTCGGGTCTTAAAAAAAAGCGGTCATAATAGATGTAGTTATGTGAAAAAAAATTAAATAATAATAGTCATTATATGATTAAAGGCAAGTCTTCCATAAAAACTTGCCAATGTTATGATATAACGATATATGTTATGATATCACTATATGTTATGATATAACTATAAAGTCAAAGATCTATCGTTATCTATCCTCCTTATCCGCATAATTTTCACTTCCTACCAGCTTCACTTACATTCATATCTTATTCAGTAACCCTATTTATTATATATATATATATATATATATATATATATATATATATATATATATATATATATATATATATATATATGAGATAACGATATATATTTTATATATCAAGAATAGTCCGATGAAATCCTGAAGGACGAAACACGTCACATGTAAACTTTTTACACTTTGTCATACAATTCTTCCAAATACATACACACACACACACACACACACACATATATATATATATATATATATATATATATATATATATATCCCTCTTTTATACATGTTTCATACATGTTTTATATCCCTTTCATTAAAGACGACTGACAGGTCACACAGTTTTGACACACTTTATATCCAGAAAAGAAATCACTTATACGAACACAACAAAAATTGAAGAAAAAGCTTAATCGCAGTACTTAGTCAGTCATCTTTAATATATATATATATATATATATATATATATATATATATATATTATGCGTGGTACATAATGGAAAGTGCTCAATATCCGTCATAGAGCTAATATATTCAGTTGCGTGCGGGTTTCGTTTATCAGATAAACTTTTTTTTCCTTTTTTTTTTTTCAAAAGTGAATCTAGTTATGCTTATTTTTGTTTGATTATTTGCGTGTGGACGAGAGGGGAATTTTCTTTTGTGTTTGTTTGGGATGGCACTCTCATATACATAGACACACATACATACAGGTATACGCATTTTAGTTCGTACAAATACACCCATATAAATAATCTGAGGTCACATGCAGTTACACATCCATACGTTCGAGCGCACATATATACGCAACTGTCATTCTATTTCGGTGTCAACATTGTAGCATTACATATGTAGCAATGTTATCTTAACGGGGTCGGATGAGGATGGTATTGACGTTTTTCAGATCGGCCGTCAGCGCTGTCAGACATGCTCACATTCGCTCCAACATACACACGTATATATAGACGCGTACCCACACTTATAGATCTGGGTCCACTACCACCACGTTGGTTAAGTTGGGTTCTGTCTGCATCTAACCTCAGATTATTTATATGGGTGGGTTTGTACGAACTAAAATGCGTACACTTGTATGTATGTGCGTCTGTGTATGGTAGAAGAACCCCACCTCCATCACACGCCAATAATCAAATACAAATAAGCATAAATAGATACACTTTGACAAAATAAACCCCAGTTTGTCTGATGAATCCAAAAGCGTGAAATCCGCGGTTACAAACTAGTATCCATGCAACTGAATATATATATATATATATATATATATAGCTGATAAGGTACGGTGGATAATTTATGAATTTATGTAGAAATTGTCCCAATATTCTGTATGTTTTAGCCATTATCAAGGATGATTTTATGTCCAGAAAAGAAGAAAATTCTCAGAACACAAGAAAAATTAAATACATAAACGCAGAACCTTGTCAGTCGCTTTATTATGAAACTTGTATAAAAAAAAAACGGATTGCTGTCCAAAAACACAATTATAAATATGTGTGTGTGTGTGTGTGTGTGTGTGTGTGTGTGTGTGTGTGTGTGTGTGACAAAGTGGAAAAGGTTTGTGTCGCGTTTCGTCTTTCAGAACTACATCGGACTAAAAATTTTTTAAAAGTTTTTCCACTTTGTCATACATGTCATCATGTGTATATATATATATATATATATAAGCTTGGAGTTGATCAAGCATTTAAAAATAAGCAAGCAAAGAGAGGAAAGACATTTGTTAACCGAGAGTCCGTTTTTATCATCTGCTATTGTTATTTAATAGTCTGAACTCAGTTGAGTTTATTTACAAGCGGACACATAGAAAAGAAAAAGAAAAAAGAAAATATACATACCAGTGATTAGAGTTATCTTTTAATGATTGCCATCGCTAATAAAACTTATTCCCGGCTTGTTTTTTTCGGAGATTAAATTATTACTGTTATTATAATTATTGTTTTAGCAAAAGTGTTAATAGTTGTAAAAATGTAATCGCAGTTTATATGACGTTTTCTTTTTACTTTTGCTTTCGTTGATGCAAGTACGGTGGTAATCGTAATAATGTTCTTATTTCTATTTTGTTAGAGTGTATAATAAAAATCCTAATTTTATATCCTTGTTGTCAGACCCCAAAAAGAAAGCAAGACTACTACTTCCTCATACAGAAAAAAGACAAACTTATCCTCGCCATTTCACAATTTGTTTTCACATAGAATATCAAAATCGTAACCACGAGTCGCTTCTCATTGGATGTTTAAATGTGACGTGACAATTGTTATCAGTTTTTTTTTTTTTTTTTTTTTTTTTTGGTTTTTTTTTTCTGAAAAAATTGGGAATTTTCATGACAGAAAATAAAACTACTAAAATTTCTGTTATATTTTCAACAAAATTTGCAAGCATCAGAGAGGAAGCGATCAACTCCAGATGGAAAGATTTTTTTTTTATTTTTATTTTTGGGCCGGGGGTGAATTTAAGTGAATTTATATAGTTACTTTCTAATCGTAGCTCAGATATGACACAAGGTAGCAAGTATGGAGCACCCAATAAACATCGAACTCTCTAACCAATTTTAATCGATCTCGCATGACAAGCTTATTAACCATTATACAATGTTTTCCATCTAGTTGTTGAGTTTGGTTTGTTTGTTTTTGGTGGGTGGGATCTGCAATCTAACCCAATTAAATGATCATAATTGTAATCTTTCCTTATGAATGTTGTTTAGAGGGGCGGCAAATTCTACGACACCTGAGGATGCCACAAATGCTAGATACGCCGCTGATTAATAAATTACATTTCTATTCGTTTTAGACTAGATTCAGAATTGTGTAACCCGGGCCGGTCAGAAAATTTGCCGCCCCTCTGGAAAAAAAATCCCAAACTTTTATAATTTATAATTTTTATCAGATCAAGATCGACCCTATTTTAGATGTGGCACAAGGCCAAAAGTATGGGGCACCAAGTGAGGATCGAACTCAGATCGGCGGTGATATGAGATGATAAATACTGCAATTTTCTTGTCAAATTAAAAACAATGAATAAGAAACTGGAAAAAAATGTTTAAATTAATCAGAAAAAAATCTTTCTTTATTAGAAAAAAAATATATAATTGACTCATTTTTTACAGCTTATCAACGCATTGTATGTTATTTAAATCCAGAAAATATTTTCATATTGTAAGATTTTTTTTTTTTTAGATAATAATGATTTAGTGACATAAGTCTTACTAATTAACCCATAGCTGGTGGGGGAGAAGAGATGGATTCATACCTTTTCCAAGGGTATTTGTGCATAAGTGAATGTAACGAACCCAACTGGAATTGGAACTCGGCACTCCGATTAACAATTCCATTACACTAACCACACATTCAAACTTACAGCACCTGGTATTCCCAAGCGGTTATCCGTCTAGGTACTTACCGAGGTCGACGTTTCAACGCTATATGGCCGTAAGCAAATAAAATGTTATTGCATTAACAATATATGCACTAAGGAAAAAAATCCCTTAACAGTAATTGACTTTTTACAAATATCCACCCAAACAAACTACTGCTCTGTTGAACCGACAGCCAAGATGATGTTTCCTGATCATTACAATCTTAACCTTTTCAAGTTTAGCTCAACTGTTATTTGACCCACCTATTCGCATAAACTATGCTTATTTTTCTGTAACCCTCTACCTCGAGTGGCCCCGGGCCTTGCATAAGGTGAACAACGCTGTAAATAAACTCAATGGCCTTCCTGAAATCTATCCTTTTATTGTCCTTTTTCTAAAGTCTTCTAATGGCCGACGCGTACTATTCCGACCGATAGGAGCCTGATTGGGGGCCTTGGGCAGTGCTTTGTAACCCTTTCTATCTTATCAATATTTGCTTTTCTTTACTAATTCAATATCGATGACACTTAAATTAAATTTTAAATGCTTGGAAGTCAATCGGGAAGTTTAAATATGACATCTGTATCTGATAGAGTCTCAGATAAATATAATCTAACAATTATCATTTCTTACACAGCCGTACATACAAACGAACGCAGACCCCACACTTGCTTTTTACTAATGGTCACTCAAGATAGAGTTTTACTGAAAGCGGTTGTAATGCAAGAGTAAAGGGTACAGATTATAGGGATATGGGGAAAAGATAACAGTTAATCCTAGAATTGAAGATGTTAAGATTGTAGTGGTCGGGAAATCATCCTAGCGGGATTCTGTTCCACAAAACAGTGGATCTTAGGAAGAAGATATCCAAGTAGAACATAATTTTTATTAATGGAATACGAAGTGGTTGTTGCATAAAAGGGGCAGAGCTGCCACCTTCATTAGTTTCGTATTCCGTTAAAATAGTGAAAGATCCCTTCCAAAAGCTAAACAAAGAATAAGAAACAGAACAAAATTCAAGAAAACAGATAATAACGTCAGCACGAAGGTGGGTGACCGCTTGGGAATACCATGTGCTGAAAGTTTGGATGTGCGGGCGGTGTAATTGATAATGGCTCGAAATTGTTAATCGGATTGCCGAGTTCCAATTCTCGTTGAATACGTTATATTCATTTACTCGCAAATACCCTTGAGAAATATATGAATTTATTTCTTCTCCCCTAGCTATGGGTTACTTAGTAAGACTTGTATCATTAAACCATTATTATGTAAACAAAAATTCTGACAATCTAAAAATATTTTATGGCTTTAAGTAACCTGCAAAGGGGGGGGGGATAAATCATAGAAAGTAAATCAACTGATCTCTGTTGTCTCTTCATCCGTGAGGAAATTGTCCACTATTCACTGCCATATTAGAGGACTGATATTACATAGCAGTTCAGCTCTCTTTATTATACTTCTCACGAAATTTTCCCGTTTCTTAATACTTTGCTTAGCATTTAGAAGGCCTCTTTCTCCATTCAGAGACAACATCGGATCTCTGTGTCACATTTTCATTCTTCTGTTAAAGCATTTCCCCGATAGTTAAATTTCTGTACTTGCTTGATTTTATAATGGTTTCTTTTTCTCATATTACCTCATATTCAGTAACCCCCCCCTTGTGTCTTAGTAGCATTATTACCTTGCTTGGAATGAAAAGATTTTTTTTATAAAGTACGCGTTAAAAAATGAGCTTTAGAACAAATACGACGAAGTTTTCTCACAAATTTTTAACTAGACAGAGTTTTTAATGAGTTCATATTATTATGACGAAAACTAGAACAAAATGTATAACCAGTGGACAAAAATCTTGCGAACCGGAAAATGCTTCCTACCACATCTGTGTGTTATCTATAAAAGGCACAAAACATATGACGCCTTCGCTGTCTCCAGCACAGCATAGTATTGTTTAAATTGTTGTTGCGGTTATTTTGTACAGGCGACCTTGAAAAAGGAATGGATCCATATATTCTTCACCACCTCAACTATGGGTAAAATAGTAGAGTGGAAAAAGCGTTTTGACTTTGACAGGACATTACGGAGGACAACTGAATTTAACCGCACTAACAGCACATTAACTGGACAGAATCAGTATCTGTCTATATTTCTGAGATGAGGTATTGTAATTATTTACATTATTTACATTGTTCGGACTGTTGTACTCATCTTTATTGTCATGTTCGCGACGTTTCGACCGTTGTAGGCTCCGGCCTTCTTCAGGTGATTAGAATTTCGGGTCAGGCCCACTACATTCCATAACCGACAGTCTTGAAAAAAATCTGAAACATACAGTGAGCTGAGACACACAGACACACACACGCACACACACACACACACACACACACACATATATATATATATATATATATATATATATATATATTCAAACATATATTATTAAATATAACTGACAACGAATGTATATTATATTTGATCATGAGCCGTTCCGAGCTTCGTATAGTGACTTTAGTTTCGGGAGAAAAACTGTCCAATATTTGGATATTATTTATTATTTTGTTCATCGATCTAAGCTTTCGACTCACATACATACATACACACACTCACAAACACACGCACGCACGCACGCACACACACACACATATACATACATACATACATACATACATATATGCTGGGTCATGTAATTTAATAATTATGTATTTGGGGCAGCAATCCCCCTTTTATACAAGTTTCGTTATAAATGATTGACAGGAGACTACGGTTACTTTCCTTGTTGGCTGCCAGGTGACGTAATTTAATAATTGTGTATTATTACTACTAAACTTAGTCAGCCGTCTGTTCTTCCTTTATCCTTCCTCTTCCTCTTATGACTGTTACGTTCTAGGTAGGATTTCTGATAGTAAAGATAAGACCCTCTCATCTAAACCCGTCTGCAAGCATCTTTGTCTTCGGCGACCTCAATGTCAATATCAGATGACTTAATCATTATAATACGACTGACCATGCTCGCATTCAGACCTTCTCTATTACTCAATCTTTCATTCAAATAGAAGGCTTCTTCACGCATTTCCCCAGTAATTCATACGGACACGCTTTTCTACTTGATCTCTTCCTTACAATCTGGACTCATGTCATACTCTGCAGGTCTGTCCTCTTAGCAATTCCGATTTTACGATAGTGTCTATAGATAACTCTCCCATCACTCACGAACCCCTATTGACAAAATATCTTCCTGTTATCAACGCACTGATTGGGACTCAGTTTGTGACTTCCTTCACAATGCCATTTGGAATTATATTTTTAATCATCCTGTTCATAAATGTGTCTGTGACGTCTCCTGGGTGAAAGCCGGCATCGAACCTTTCGTTCCAGCACGGAAATACTAAGTATAACCACGATCATCTCACTGCTTCTCACCTGCCTATTCCTCCACTATAGCCCTCAGGAATCATTTCTTCCGTCTATACAAGAGGACAGGTTTGATTGTAACAGATGTCTC